ACCAAACAAAATTTGCTACCAAAACTCAGAATCCTCTTATATGCTGCTTCTCATTCTACAAACTAAAAATCTCCCTGCAATTTTCAAAGACTGACTTGGGCTTGATTAGGAAAAGTTCCTGGATTTTGGTCCTGAATTTATTCAACAAGCATATTGATCACCCAGTAGTATTAATTTAGGTGACAGGGATGCATTGGACAAAGATTCCTTCCCTGGTGGAGCTGATTTATGTTCTTGTGGCAGAGATGGACACAGACAATTACGTAAAAATAAGTTAAGTAGATATCCAAGACTAGAGAGAAAAGGAAAAGGAAATCAGAGATAAATCGGGATACCAGAGGAGGGTAGAACATGGTAGGCAGGGTGAGTTCATTAAGAAGGTGAAAAGTGATCCTAAATTTGAGGAAGCGCAGGAGGTTAGCAAGAGAAATTGTTCCTCATCAGCCATGCAACCTGAGCCAAGCAACATTTAAGCTCTTGGTCTTGATTTCCTCATTTGTACAATGGGATATTGACCTTGATGATCTATATTAAAGTCCTTTTAAGTTCTTAAATTCTGTTAACTATGATTTACTTTATGCCAACATTACAGAATGAAAGCTGTGATCCAGTTAATGTACACTAGGCCCACACAACGTGTCATGTGTTGCTAAATGCCATGGATGCTGCAGGACTTAAGAGGCGCTTGTTATGATAGTGGCAGTTTAAAAGTATCTCATTACACTCATTCATGTATTTATCACATATATTCAACACCTACTATGTGCCAGGTACTACTGTCTAGCTGGAGTGTGACAAAGCTGACAGTCTAACGCTAAGCTGGGATGGAAGAGTGGTTTGGGACACAAGAAGGAGGATACAGCCACAATGAGTGGGGAGTGTCCACTTCTGCAAGGGATTCTAGATCTGCATTAATTTTTCTGCTCACAGAGAGATGAACTTCTGACAACTCTTTCTTTAAAAAATCTAATTGCTATATCTCTTGAGATAAGTGACCATAAATTTCACTTAACAAAGGGTATCACAGTGGTAAAGAATCTATCTGCTAATGCAGGAGATGCAAGAGACACAAGTTCAATCCCTGGGTCAGGAAAATCCCCTGGAGTAGGAAATGGCAACCCAATCCAGTATTCTGGCCTGGAAAGTTCCATAGAAGCCTGATGGGCTATAGTCCATAGGGTTGCAGAGTCGGTCATGACTGAGCACACACTTGGGCACATTATAAAGAAGGGGACTGCTTTCATCTCTAAGATTTCCTCTTATTCTTTTAAAAAATTTAAAGGAGTTTAGTTGTGTTTACTGATAATATACTGATAAGTATATTAAGGGGAATATTACTTAAGTTTGGAAAAATTCACTTTCTACAAGGAAAGTAAAAGTGGTCATATAATATTTAATACCATTGGGGAAATCTTAAATAGTACAATTTGAAAAGGGCAAAGAAGGCTACTTATAAAATGTTTATTTCATTAGAACTAAAATAAGATATTGTTCTTACTGCTAGCAAATGAATTTGAAAAGCAAGAGCTTTTCCCACCAGTTTTTGTGTTCCTTTTTTATTTAAAAATCATTTTTTTTCCATAACAGTAAAGAAATAATCAACGTGGCAGTAACAACTTTCATCTACTGGGAGCTTATTGTATGCTGGGTACTAAGCACTTTCCCATATATTATCTAATTTAATTATCATAAAGCTTTATGGAATAAACAGTGACTATGTCCAGTTTTATAGATTAGATAACTGAGACTGAAAGAGATTAAGTGAATTGCCCAAGGTCTAAAGCCCGAAAGTGGCATTAGGGGAAAAAATCTTAAACTGGCAATAGGGGAAAAAATCTTAAACTGGTGGTCAGAAGGCCTGCACCTGAAATACCAGAGGCAGGAGTCACTAGATGACTGACGTGGATAAGAACAGGCAGTTACGTATTCAGTATAACTATTTTGGTTAATAGCAAATGGTCATAAAATTTCTCTGCTGTCTATATAAATGTTTTCTTAAAAATTGTATTTTATAAAGTATATTCATCATCTCTGAACTTCTACTGGTAATTGAAAGTCTACAAAGAATTTTTAGATCAGATCTAAATATTTTAAAAATTGTGCTTTTGTGAGATTTAATACTCCATGTAAAATTCTTCCTAGTGAACTCAAGTTTCAAAGGATTTAGATATTGTTTGACTAGGCACATCATGAAATGAGGAATATAATCCATTAGTTGAGATTGTTATAGAGACAATATTAACAGTAGCCATCTCTTTCTGTAGAAGTATTTGAGGAAATTACTATCCCCATACTGCCAACAGTATATGATATATAAGCGAATAAATTGATTACAGATTTTTAGCAGACTCCATGGACAAGTAGTTTTCTTTCTCATATTTATTGAATCAATTTGTAATCAAATTTGTAATCAAACTGATTCAATAAAAATTAAAGGAAGTGAGTTAGTACAAGTGCAATTTCATCTAAAACTATACCTTTCTCCATGGAAAGCTGGCACAATTTCCTTTTTCATCACTAAAAAAGATGCTTCTCAATAGAAACTCTTTGTATAGGAATCTATACTTGCCATTTTCCCCCCTGGTATTCTGATTTTCTTTAAAAACCAGATTAAAATTTTTTTTGCATATATATCTATAGAATTTCCCATAGCTACATCAGGAAGAAATCTTCAGAAAAAATAATTAGGTAACTCTTATGCATAAGAGTTAAGAACATGTTAACAAAGTGTTCAGCATCTTTATCAAGGCAGCCGAGATGAATTTGAGGGTGATGTGCCTAGGGAACATAACAGTACAAAAATTTTTTAAATTAATGGAAAATGAGAGACAGAAAAGGTGTTTTTGCAGTAAAATGAATTTTGAATAATTTTCTATTACTAAGAGAAGCTTTTACTGCTTATCAGTATGATTCAGGACTTTGAGATTCAGATTACTAATTTAATGATTTGATTGCAAAATTCTTATAAATTTTTATGAAAGTTTCAGCTCCCTTAAATTCCTTCTGGGCCATGTTTGATAAATAAAAGTTTTAAATGTGACAAAATAATCCAGTATTTCAAGTGAGTAATGGAAGATGTCTGCTTTAGTGATTACCTGCTGTGCTATGAGTTTATTTTTGTGTTATAAAAGATGCCTGAAATTATGGCAGATATTTGGAAGTGTTTCTCTGAAGGGCGAGAACATGAAAGTTCAATATGAATGCTATAATAAAGAGAAAGAAAATTTTTTATTGAATAGAAACTAATGAGAACAAATAATTGGAGCAATTTTAAAATAAATTTCAACTATGGACATAGCATGACAATATCAACCCAAATCATATTTCAGTATTAATTTCCTCAAGCAAAATGTAGACCTTGTAGTTTTATTACTTGAAAGCTCAGGGTAACTTTCTAAGAACATTAATTTACAATTAAAATGAAATGGACTAGCAAGTCATTTTTGAAAAAATCAGAGAGTGCAGGCAAATAATCTGGGTAATTTTGATACCTTATGTCAGCAATTCTTTTATACTAAATTTCAAGAGAGTATATGGGAATGGAAAGACTGGAGCGACAGAAGTTTTTCTTGATGAGAAAACTTGAATCTGACTTATAGGTTTCTTTCAGGAATAACTTTTAAAATGCTAATATACTTTAAAATATTTTTATACTCTGCATAAAATTTAGACTTTATGATTTATACATAGTTAATACTATAACGGGTATCTAGTCTAGTAATAACTTAAAACCATTGCTAAAGTTTATTATTCTCCATGAGATTTAAAACCACTGTTAACAATTATTAGGTATTATACTCTGGCTGAATTGACTTTGATTTGATATTAAAAGGATGTATCCTTCATCAGAAATCTCTATGTGTAAATGTCTTAAGACTCTGGGAAACAGCCTTGATTCTGCTTTTATACAGTAAAGAAAATAGCTGAGTCAGCAGCTTGCATAGTAAAATTTGTGATTATATAATTCCTTTTTATGGTCCAATAGTGAAAAATGTAAAGCTATTAGAAACATAGAGGTCTGAAAGAGGACTGTCTAAAATAACCAGACATTGTCAAATGGGATAGTCATAATACATACAGAAAAATACTTCTAGCCAGACCTACACTATCATTTGACCTTCACAAGTCATACTTTTCAACAGTGGATGCAATTTTCTCAGACTGCACTTTTGACCTTGAAGACATTGATTCTCAATGTTTTATTTCTCTTAGTAAACTTATAATGCTTCTGGTCCCCAAACTGACTTCATCTAAAATTCTTATCATCATATGTTTAAACTATTGAATTCTGTAATTCTTATTTTAAATATTCAGCATGCAAGGGCAAAGAGAGAAGCTCCAGCTCCTTTGGAACTATCTTTTTCTTATTGCATAAGTCTCTTAGCTTTCTTAATGCGGGATGTCCCTCATCTGAAGCTGGGGCTGAGGCAATAGCTGCATTGTACTGCAGCTTCAAATCTTGCTACAGTTCCCAGGCTTAGGATTCAGCTGAGCTGCAAAGAAACATGCAGGGAAAACATTGCTCTGTGGAAACTAAAGCTTTACCGAAGGATTTTAATGGGGTAAGTTCTTTTTCCTGAAACTTAGCTTGTCTGACTCATGTTCATGTTGTTTTTCTTGATGACTCTAACAGAATGACATTACATGTAAGTTTTACTTACTATTTCTCCTTGCTTTTGCCCTGTCTTTAAATGAACTTTCTACCCTGCATTCTACTTAGAAGATAGCAACTGAAAAGCCTTGAACAATTGCATCAACTCCCTGCAGTTGGATATTCTTAAGCCAATCCACTTTAATTGTCCCTGATTCTTAGCTGTACTGTAATGCAATAGCATTCAAAAGCCAGGGAGCATGTTCACCAATTAGCAGAAAGGAAAAAAAAAGTCAGTGCAGCAGAACTAAAATTGAGAAGCACCAATGTAAATGTTAAGAAATCACTTAGCATTTCTAAGTAACATGAAATGGCTTTAACTTTCATAAGAGAAGGTGCGTTTTCTTACCTTGGATATGAATAACTCTGTCATGATCTACAGTATAGTTGCCTGGATGATGATCAGCCCAGCAGATTGAAATCAGCACCAGAAGAAGTAGACTCTTCATCTTTGTAGCCCAAATAATCTTCTTCACTGTGAGAGCATCACATACAGAGAAGCTTGTGAGATTTGGAACCCTTTGGAGTGTTGCACTGCACAACTTTTACTGCCTTATCATCCTAGAATGGGTCTGTAAAAATATTTAACCCAATCTGCTCAGAAAGTTACTGTAGCTGTCTTTGGAAGCTGAAGACTGCAGCTTTGAACAATTCCAGTTTCCCTTATGTAGTCAGAGTCCAAACAGTGTTTAACTCTATCTTTACAGAGTTGTAAATCTAGAAATTTATTTAGAACAGTACAGTTTTGATATAGAGAGTTATAGCAAGTTAAAAGAGATATGATAAAAATATAAAGACTTAAAACATTTAAACCTCTGAATTTGAGGTACAAGTTAATAAAACAATTTGATATAGCTACATATGAATATTTATCACCCAGCTTAATTTGTAACTGAATATTAAGCCAGGGCAAATAAAGAATATTTGCATGAAACTTGACATCATCATTCATTTTACATATGGCTTTCTAAGCAGGTTAGATTTGCTTGTTCTAAAAAGAAAAGAGGACACACACAAAAAATGCCTGGTTAAATAGAAGCAGCACATTTGTTAGAGACTCACCATCTTAAACACTGCTTGGGTCTATGGTGAATAATTGAAAATTAGAGACAAATGAGGTTAGAATTGTGCATGCGATCACTGCAGTCATCCTGATTGATTTTCATTCATTTCTACCTGAAATGCTGACGCATCAACTTGGAGTGCCAGGTAGGGTCTCTGCAGTCAGCACAGCCTTGGCTGCAGGGAACATCCCTGCCAACCTCGCAGGGCAATTAGGCAAATGAAGAGCTGAAATAAACGGCCAGCTGTCCTGAGGGACAGCAGCAGAGCCCTTGCCTGGCTATCCTCATTCAAGACCAATTTGATAAAAAGGGACACAATCCCCCCCAAAACGTTGTCATTGCAAGGACCAAAAAACAATTCCAAGTGATACACACCAGTTGACCTTTGCAGTATTTGCCAGGCAAGAATTTCAGTGCAGCTCCTCTGTTTTAATGTGGAAGCTGAGGCAGATATTAAGAAGGGCTTTCTTTTCCTCTCATGCACACAGCAGCCTTAACAATACTTGGCTATTTTTAAAACTGAAATTGCACAGTACTGGCTTCTCACACTAATTTGTTTTTTCCAAGAAAGCCTGAATCCCTGGAATACTTATTAAAGAGCTCCGAGCCTGTTCCTGGAGGTCTTTGCAGGCCAGCCTCTCCTCCAGAGCCTAAATGCCCTAATCACAGACGTCTCCTAGGTCCCTCTTGGGACCTCAGTACCTCTCTGTTTCCTCCTCTCAAAATCGTTATGATGCTCTGACTTCAGTCTCCAGTGTTTGCCCTAACCCTTTTCTTTTTATTATGTCACAGAAAGAAGATAGTGGATGAGCAAATTGAGAAACTTACTTTCCCAAGAAACTAAAACTGTCGCCTTCAAAATTCTGATTTACTGATTTTATTTTCAGAAGTTTACTTGCTTGTTCCTCTGAGGCGTTTTTTGGGGAAATGATTTTTTTTGAAGCTACTGACTTTTGCCTATAGAAATACTATTAACAAATATGACCTGTTTTCAGTCCAGAATAATGCTTTGGGTGAAAATATATAATAAAGGTGACCTTTTAGAATTTGGAATATAATTGGCACAATTACAGACACACACATAAGATAGTAGGCCAGCCGGTACATGAGGTGTCCTGTGCTTTCTTGCTTGACATGGGAATCAGAGGAGAGGGGGAGTTGTGGAAGAGAGGGTATGAGAAAAATATACAAGTGAGCGTTAAAAAAAGACATTCAAAGAAGGATCAAGGTGAGCTGAGGCAGAGAATTTGCCATATTATCTTTCACATTAAATTGAACATCTACAGTATAACTTATAGAAAGTTGTATACTCTCCTCTCAAAACACACACATACACACACACACACACACACACACACACACACAGTTATGCACCCTACCACAGAAGTCATTCTGATTTGCTGATTTCCTAAGATTTATTACACACAAATTTCTCTCCTTTAATTCCATATCATAGTATTAAAATTATATCACTAAGAATTCATTCCAGTGTGTTATGATATTAACTATCCAATGACCCAGTTTTAAAATGCAAACATCCCCAGGAGGAGGGTGGGACAGACAGTGCTGGGGATAAATAATAATAACAACAGCAGTTCCTTTTCATTGAATGTCTGTTATCTGCCGAGTGCTCTCCTAAGCACTGTGCATATACTGGCGCATGCAGTCTTTACAGTAATACTGTGAAACGCAAGCTTCCATTTTTCCTGACACAGTCACCTTGCTGGAGGTCACATATGTAAGAAAGCAGCAATGTTTGTGTTTGCCTCAGGCAAAAGTAGCACCTACTTTGAATTGCACTTATTTTTCTGAAAGAGAAATCTACTTATTTGTTTTGTTACCTTTTTTATTTAGGCTCTTTTACTTGAACCTACTGTGCTGTGCTCTTAAACCTTTGACTTGTGCTTTGTGTGAATATAAAACTTTTCCCCCAAGACTGAAGTATGAGGAATCAGATGGCACTTTCCTTAGCCTACTTCTGCCCTGCCTCGTTTACAATACCATGCTGGTGCCATGAGCACTGCCACGGTGACTCACGTGTGGGTGCACAGATGTGTGGGTACACAAACGTGTTCATACATACACACCATCTTTAATTAAAATCGGTGAGGACATTTCACATCTTCAGTGATTTTTGATTAAAATAAAATGCATATATCAGTGAACACTTGCCAGTACCCCACATTGGTATTAACGCAGTCCAAGTAGGAGAAAGCGGAAATGATCTTTGTTACTCTACTTGTATAAGAGCTGTTTACCAAAAGACATGAAAATAGACAAGCAAGCTTTAGGGACACAATCTTCAGAAGTCTAAGCAAACTGCAGGTACACGCGAGGCATTGCACACTGGACTGAGGTTTCTGAGGACACGGGCTCTGCCAGCTATGTGCTGGTGCTCAGGGGAGACCTGCTTGTTTGCGTTTGTAATGATGTCTTCTCTGAGTGTCTAGATATTTTTGGTTAAAATATTTCAGTTTTTTATAGGAGCAAAATTTAGAAAATTTGGGGGCTTTTATACAACCAGTTATTGTTGGCTTTGAATTAGCATTCTGAGTTCACCTTTTACAGGCTACCAAACTTTGGAACCATGATGCTGCAGCCAAATTCAAGATGAGTTCCTATGGAAATGTCTGTGTTCACAGTCACAGACATCATAGGACTGTAATTTTGCAGCTCTGCTTTGGTGAAAATTGAGCTACTATTTAGAAGCAAGATATCTACCCAGCTTAAAAGTCTCATAGTTTGATAGACACAGAGAGAAACTAATACCAGCAGTCTAGTAACAAAGTGGCCAACTGCTATTTCTTAAATACCTATTATGCTAGAATTATTATTTAATTAGATACTGGAGAAATAAAACCAAGTGGTAAGCATGTATGCTATTTTCTGTGTCTTGAGAGGTAATGACACATATTTCCTGAACTACTATTACAGTGGGCCCTCTATATCTGTGGCCTCTACATCCTCAGATTCAACCAATCTCAGGACAAATAGATTTGGGGAAAAATTTCCAGACAGTACTGAAAAGCAGAACTTTAATTTCAACTATTTTTGTAGCCTTTACATTGTATTAGGTATTATAAGTAATCTAGAGATTTTAAAATTAGGGGAGGATGTGCCTAGATTTGGAGAAGGCAATGGCACCCCCTCCAGTACTCTTGCCTGGAAAATCCCATGGACGGAGGAGCCTGGTAGGCTACAGTCCATGGGGTCACTAAGAGTTGGACACAACTGAGCGACTTCACTTTCACTTTTCATTTTCATGCATTGGAGAAGGAAATGGCAACCCACTCCAGTGTTCTTGCCTGGAGAATCCCAGGGACAGGGGAGCCTGGTGGGCTGCCGTCTATGGGGCCGCACAGAGTCGGACACGACTGAAGCGACTTAGCAGCAGCAGCAGCAGGGCCTAGATTATATGCAAATACTGCTCCACTTTATATAAGAGACTTGAACATCTGCCCAGTTCCACAGGGCATCCTGGAACCAGTTCTGACAAGGACACCTAAGGATGACTGTACATGCTAGGTACTGTACTTGAAGCTTCACCCATTTAGCTGTTATATCTCAGAACAACCAAATTGAAGTCAATCTGTTCGTATACACATTTTACAGTTCTGGAAATGAGTCAGTGTGGAAATTCTCCATCATGTCAAGTGAGAAGCTGGGGATCTGGGCAGTCTGGTGTGACCCCAGGGCCTGCAAAATCCACCACCATCACTGGGGGTGTCCTGGTACCCCGAGGAATGCCAGCAGCTCTCATAACTCTTTCAAGGCTTCATACAAGCTGGAGTGCTTCTCCCTAGCCGCCTCTTACTGGGTTGTAGGCATAGCACTGATCACAACACTGTTGGCACAAGACATGTGCATGTCCAAAGTCAGAATGCTTTCCTCACTGCATGCCCGGCACCCAGAACTATCCTTTGTGCCAAGAAGAAAGGTGAATTTAAAACTGGACCTGGGAGAAACACTTACCAAGACTAAAGGAGCTAAGAAGGCAGTTTCTATGCTGTTTATAAAGATCACGTGTTATTATGTAGAGGATGCTGAAGAGTTGGTTTGTTCCTCCATTGAGGGCATCGTGAAATTGACCAGGTTTCAATTTAGCACTTGAAATTTAGTTTACAAATTATAAGAATCAATACAAAGGTTACTAGAAACTGAACAAACCACAGAATCTCATTGGACAGAATTATTCTACAATAGACTGAATCTCCTCCTTGCTATCAAGCCTGATCTAGTTAGAGGTGGGTTAATGATCAGTGGTGCAGGGAAATGAAAAAAAGAAAAGACAGGGAATGCAAAAGTATGCTTTTTCATTAGGTTAAATTAATTCAACTTTTAAAAATTACTCTTTTTCTGAAGTAACTTTTTTTGTTATCATTTTTACTGTTCAAATGGCCTTTATTTCACGGAATTACAACTTTTAGGTTTTTTAAAGATCATATTTTATCCTTAGTTAGCAATATATTTTTAATGACAGCCTTACACTAGCTCATCACTTGTTGTGTTGTTTTTGATTGGCTTTGTCTTCTGTTTTGACTCTACAGGTGTGTAAAATTCAGAAGTCAGACCACTGACCCAAATGATGGCTAAGGAATTCAGACTATTGATGCATTTGAATTGTTCAGTGTGTGGAGGAACCACTGGGCTGTTACCTAAGCCTCAGGATTTATAGCGCACAATGGAGCAGAATGCAGAACTGCTTGGAATATACCCAGTGCTCAAAAGAGAAGTTATGACTGGGAAAAAGAAAAAAAAAACTTTGCTCAATTATACAACTTCCCCTCAGGGAGTTAGTCTGTATAAACCCCAAGTGAACACAGCATCCGCTCTGTCATCTTGCATTGTTCTATGAAAGTGCAAATTACTAAAGCAGCAGAAAAGAACTTCTGATGCCCTGGATTAGATGTCTAGCCGCAGCCATCATGATGACCTCCTACTCAAGCGTCAAGAGTGTGCTGCTTCCTTGGTGTGCTTCACTGGTGACCTGAGAAGGTGGGAAAGTCCTCGGTCAGGAGGAGGGAACTTTTCCCACCGTCTCAGGTTGCTCCCCAAGTGGCTCAGCGGTAAAGAATCTGCCTGCCAAGCGGGAGATGTGGGTTTCATCCTTGAGTCAGGAAGATCTCCTGGAGAAGGAAATGGCAACCCACTCCAGTATTCTTGCTAGGAAACCCCATGGACAGAGGAGACTGGCAGGCTACAGTCCATGGGGTCACAAAAGAGGTGGACACAACTTTAGCAACTGAACAACAGGAGGAGGATGGAAATGTGAGTTCTACAAGAAGTCTCATAATCATTACCTCATGTCTCAATTTTTTCACCTACAAAATAGTAATATTTTGTTTCCTAAGGTGGAAAGTTTTTGAAAAAGTATAAAAACTATGCAGCTTGTATTGTTGTCAATACAAGTTCACCTTGGACCTGGTCAATTTTTATGGCAGAATGTAAGGAAAATAACAAACTAAAGATATCTCCTTCTCAAAGGCTGGTGAGTTCTAAAAAGTTCACTATCTCTTACATGTGGAATCTAAAAAAAAAAAACATGATACAAATGAACTTATATGCAAAACAGAAATAGACCCACAGACATAGAAAACAAACATGGTTACCAAAGGGAAAGGGGAATGGAGGAATAAATTAGGAATTTGGGTTTAACATGTACACACTAGTATATATACAATAGGTAACATCAAGGGCCTTCTGTGTAGCATAGAAAATAATATTTATATATACAGAGAACTATACTGTAATAACTTATAAAGGAAAAGAATCAGAAAATATACATATATATATAAAACCCTGAATCACTTTGCTGTACACAACAGTGTAAATGAAATATACTTCAATTAAAAAACAAAGGTCACTATTTGGAATGAGCACAGGAATGAGAACAGAGCCGAGGGCAGGAGCAACAGGGAGCCCATTAATAAAGCAAATTCCTGGGGCCCTAAACCAGATCTTCTGAATCAGAACTGAGGATGCGGCCCGCCGAGCTTGACAAGCCCGGCCCCCTCCCCCAGGTGACTCTGACACACGCTCAGTTGGAGAACCACGTGCCTAAGCCTTTAATACCAGGCATTCCTCATCTGGTGGTTCAGGGAGCCAAAGCCAAGTTATCGCGCCGAGGACCAGGAAGCAACAGACTGACCATGTCCGGACTACAAGGTCACCATGATGCCTGGTAATGTTACAGGTTTAGTAGACTAGTTGAACTTAGGGTCTTTACAATTCTCCAAATAAGCTGCATTTAAATTTTATGAGTTTTTTTGTTTTCCTTCCTTCTCCATACTTTGAAATCAACCTATTTAATTCCTATTTTCCCCTAAAATTTTCATTTCAAAGATGCTTTTATCTTCTCTCATTTTGCTTTTCTGCCTCTGTTTCTCTATTTGTTACCTACAGACATACCCATGCACTGTATCTTCATTTTTTTCTCTTTTCCCTATATTTATTGTATGTATTACATTACTTGGTAATTGATGTGATCATATGATTTGTCATCCAAACCAGAGCACAGGGTGAACAGAAAAACTATAACTATATGGGAAAACAGTACCACGTAAATTGGGTCTCTCCTAGGGAGAACGGCATATGTTGAGTGTACTGGTAGAAAGGCACACAATTTAGTTTTGTTCTTTGATCTGCCACTTTCTAGTTGTATGCCTGTAAGTGATGTCATTCAGCTGCTTCGGGGTCAAATATTTTATCCATCACTTGGAATAGTTGATGACAAATACCAAAGTCTTCCACATGTTCGTTCTTCTTATTGGTATTTAACTTTTTCTTACCAGAGATATCAGACCCTCCATTCTACTCACTTTGCATTTTAGGATTAGACGTCTCCAAAACAAGCTTTATGAAAAATTCCACAGTGCTTTTGTTTGTGATTGCTTTTCTAAAACAAACATGAAAGCACAAATTATATTTGGTATTTATAGTGTCAAGTCCTTCAATCTCTAGGGAGTAAGGGAGAAAGCAATGCATATACATACTAATTAGCACAGTGACTTATTTGGACTTGTTTCTGAATAACTAATACTGGCATTGCTGAACAAATAAGTGAATGAAGCACATACAGCAAGATTCTGACACTTCTAGGTTATATCTGTGTGAAACCCTAACAGTGATGCTAGGGAACATTGCTAGCAATGAAATGCTGGGAACATTCCATTCAATGTTTATTTACATGCAATACCTTTGGTTGGAATTGTATTGGACAGTAGGTAGTATAAACTGTGTTTTCCAATCTTGTAAGATAATACCAGTGGATAGGTAGATATCAAAATCTAGTCATATGACAAGAAAGAAAAAACACAGAAGTTGTTAACTGTAGTAAGGACTGTGCATTTACAATGGCAATCAGTAAAACTCTCTTTCGAGGTCATGGCAAGGAAATTCCAGACTTGCTCTCAATATACTCCAATATTCTAATCTGAATACTAGCGGATAATTCACAGGCTGCTGGAGGGAAAAATAGTATGAGAGATGGGCAGTCTTAGGATACCAAAGTCCTGGAGTGTTGCGGACATTGCCTCAGTAGCTTGGGCATGTTCTGTGAGCTCTCTCTATGTGGCTTCTGCAAGGTTCTCACAACTACTCAAAAACCTTTTAGTTACATGAGATTTCTAGGTTTACAGAGTGGGGGCATGTCTTCTATAATTAATAATCTGTTTCTTAACCAGAGAGTTGTTAGTAGAGGAAGTTAATAAATATATGCTTAGCAATACATTTTGATGATAACTGTGAGATTAAAAGACAATAAATCTTTTGTCTTCCTTTCTGTTTACTTGGGGGAATTTATCCCACTTTTGTTGCCCTAAAAAAATTATTTTACCATACAACATTAAAAATTAGACTATAACTGGTATGAATATTATGTTGCTATGCAATTAAAATGCATCCATCATAGAATGTAGAAAACATTCATTTTCTATCATTAGAGTAAAGAAAATGTTCAAAAATCAAAATATCTCATGAGCAATTCTTAAATTTGTTGGTATATAAATTAGCAGTGCTATCATTTCATAAACTCACTCATAACTTCTTTTCTATTTTGATTGCTGTCAGGGTGTATTAGCATTATAATCATGATCAAAGTATGGCAGTAATAAGTCTACATACTAGAGGTTATTTTGATTAAAATTAAAATTTCACTAAAATTTTGTTTCTGCCCTGGAATAATTTCCTCAAAAACCAAACAAGAAAAATGTGTATAGATGTTAGCATTGTTCTGAAAAATTTCTTTACTTTAAAGAATATACTTGATAGGCATACTTGGACAGGGAACACATCATTTTATAGGTTCATTCTTCCTTGAGTCATGATCAAAATTCTCAGCACAAATAACAAGCATTACACTGAATAATATAAAGTTAGACCTTAAAATATTTTTCTTAATGTATAAAATCAAATGACTGGCTGCCATTATCAGTAATACTGAATGATTTTTGAATACTGACAAGGAATTTGGCACTAAATTAAGAACTCTACAAAGGTAGACGTATTCCCTTGTGAATTGCAATTCAAATAGGACTTGAACACAGGCATTTTAAAGAGACTGGAAGGCCCCTTTTAGCCAAGGATAGTTATAGTTTTAGTAAGCAGTTTTTTTCTGAAGAATTGCAAAAGAATGAATATATGTGAAGACTATTAAGAGTTTAGATTGCTATCTCATTGTTTCCTAACTAACATATAACATCCAAAAACAGACGAAAGTGAATAAAATACAACAGTTTCCATTTTTAACTACTCTTTTACATAATTTTAAAGCCATGGAAAATAACTCTGTTCGTATTTTAATGGGCAAATATGAATAAAATCACCAGTGTTAGGACTAGGTTACATAAAAATGAGTTAAACTCCAGCTTATATTCATGCAACTAAATAAATGCAAACCTCTTGGCTACAGACTTTATAATTTGAAACAAAAAATGTTTTAATTTAAACTAGAAGTAGGGTTTATATGGATAGAAAACTAATCATAACATCACTTTGAAATAAACTGCTTTTGGATGTACTTCTAATTAAACTTGCAAAACAGTGTTTTAAGGCTTTTCCATTTAAAATTTTAGCATTTCTTATAAAATTCAAAATTGCAACAGCTGTCAGTTAAACATCATATTAAAACTGAATCTAAAAATACAACTGCAAATCATCTACAGGACAGCTTTGGTGGATCACAGATGTGACAGTAACAAGTTTTCAACATAATGCAAAATCCAACTCTAAGCCCCCACTGCATCCCACATGGAATTCTAAACTAGTTAACAACAAGAATCAGGCAACTCACATATATTTTAAACGATGATCAAACTCTGAGAAGGTGTAGAATGATTTTAAATATATGTCAATCCTGACTTTTTACTAAGCACACTGAAGAGTTTTATGAGCAATGTTTTGCTGTGGTATCTTATCATACTAAGTCATGATAAAAGCAAAAATAAATCCATTCATGATCTTTAGCAGCAGAAGCTTCTCTCCTCTCCGCTTGATGCAGTCCCCACCTCTTTTGGCTGCAACTTTTAAGATATCTTCCAAGACCCTGAAGCAGGTTTACTATTGGTCCACATCCTACGTCAAAGCATGATTTCATCAGAATTCAGTTCATTGGCCTAGGGATAACAAAGGCTGTTCCAGTCCAAAAGGCTGTGTCTACACAGAACAAAAAGGGAGTATCCAGTATTCTCCAATTAACTTGGCAAATATTGACAACTAAGCTCATTAAATCAAGTTTCCAAATTGGTTTTGTGATACAAGACACAACCCAAGAATACATCTTAAAAGATTTTTTTAAAGTTATAGTGATCTTTGAGGGTATTTTAAGCTTTTAAAACTAAGTAATCCTCCTTTATATCTTCTTGAGCTGAGGATTTTGTTCATTCTGAAAACAACCAAAATCATTTAATCAGCCTTCTTTATAGCACTGAAGTTTAGTCGGTTAGGACTACCCTAGACTCTAAAATATCTACATAATTTATAACTTTTGTAAAGAATGCCATTTAAAACTTTTATGTTATATAAGTATTAGGCTTGCCATTGACTTAGAAGTAAATAATCAGTGTACAAAATAATCAGAGTACAGTGTACAAAAATGCAGGCAGTATTATCACAAGAAATATAGAAAGTGGGTGCACATGAACCTCAAGGGTTTTTCAATGTCCTAAATACCATGAAATTACACTCCCACCCCTCCACAGACTTTCCCCTTCAGTTTGCTTCCAACTCCCACCATTAGAGTTGCCAGTACGAAGTTCCCCTTTTCTATTTCAAACTTGAACATGTTTTTTTTTTTTTTAAGATATGAAGAGCTTCACGTCCATGCTAGTAAGAGCAGTGTAAAAATGGCAGAGTTCCCGGATGAGTACTGTTAGAGTTAAGGAATAAATGGTCAATCATGAACAATTACATAAAGATCACAATTCTCATCAAAGCCAGGTAAATGAGAGTTGTATACTATTTGCGTTCTAAGGCACAGTGGTAAAGAATCCACCTGCCAATGCAGGAGAATCAGGAGATGTGGGTTGGATCCCTAGGTTGGGAAGATCCCCTGCAGTAGGAAATGGCAACCCACTCTGGTATTCTTGCCTGGAAAATTCCATGATCAGAGGAGCCTGACGGGCTACAGTCCATGGGGTCATAAAGAGTCGGACAGACTGAGCAGCTGAACACAATGACCATTGAATAGTCGCATTCACCTTGCTAACTTCAGGAAGTATGCAGAGATATCTCTATCTAGGTGATGAAATGTAGTCCTGAGAGTAAAGTACATACAAAGAAAGGGATATGGTTCAGTTCAGTCGCTCAGCCGTGTCCGACTCTTTGCGACCCCATGGACTGCAGCATGCCAGGCCTCCCTGTCCGTCACCAACTCCTGGAGTTTACTCAAACTCATGTCCATTGTGTTGGTGATGCCATCCAGCCATCTCATCCTCTGTTGTCCCCTTCTCCTGCTTTCAGTCTTTCCCAGCATCAAGGTCTTTCCCAATGAGTCAGTTCTTCTCATCAGATGGCCAAGTATTGGAGTTTCAGCCCAAGCATCAGTCCTTCCAATGAATATTCAGGACTGATTTCCTTTAGGATGGACTGGTTGGATCTTCTTGCTGTCCAAAGGATATGGTAACACTGTACAATTTCCAAAAATGAGCTTTCAAAAATTCTTTTTAAAAACCCTCCAAACTGAACAGTCATAGCCCTCAGGTGTTGGTAATAACTGCACACCTGAAAATCATTTTTAGTGTACACAATACTGCAAGAAGGTAAACCAGTCCATTCTAAAGGAAATCATCCCTGAATACTCATTGCAAGGGCTAATGCTAAAGCTGAAGCTCCAATACTTTGGTCACCTGATGCAAACAGCCAACTCATTTGAAAAGACACTGATGCTGGGAAAGATTGAAGGCAGAAGGAGAAGAGCGAGACAGAGGATGAGATGGCTGGATGACATCACCAATTCAATGGACATGAACTTGGGCAAACTCTGGGAGATGGTGAGGGACACGGAGGCCTGGCATGCTGCAGTCCACGGGGTCACAAAGAGTCAGACACGACTTGGTGACTGAACAACAAATCCTGCGAATACAGAGAAAACCACTAAAGGTATAATCACCATAAGAAATAAAATGCAAATGACTGATTCAGTGTTCATTTGCAGACAATAGTTTAAAAGGCAAAAGCCCCTTCCACTGAGAAGCAAGCAGGAAGAACAAGAAAAGGAGGAGGGGAAAGGAAATGAGGAATTAGGGGGAAAAGGAAGACATGGGGAAGAAGGAGAAGAAGAGGAGGGGGGGCAGAGAAAACAGAGCAACTGGGCCGTGGACAAGGAGCAGTGTTCTTGGCACTAATGGACCCCTGAAAAAGGCAGCCAGCAACACAGCCGCTGGCAATGGAGGGATGACTTGAAGGACAGATATCCCAACAGAGAAAAAATGGCCAGGCTACACCAACAATCTGAACAGATCCAGGGAAGGAAAAACCAACCTGACAGACTTAAGGGCTCCTAAATTATGTACTGTGCCATGTGAAGCCCCAATTCAATTATCCATTGAGCACTATTATATGTCAGACAAGTAGAAATAAGGTTCAGCTTCAGATTGCAAAGCATTTATTACCCTTTGGGGAGGCTGCAAAGCAGGAGACAGAGCAGGATGCTAAATGCATAGAGGCATCTCTGTAAGATGCTACGGGAGAGAGAGGAAGAACTCTCTGGTAATACACGGGGAGGGCACCACCTGGGGCTGTGAAATGCAGCAGCCTTGGAAGGCAGTTAACCCTGGTGCCTGGGAGGGGATGGGAATGGTTTCACAAAGAAAGTGACTTCTCAGCTGGATCTGAACCAAGAAGGAGATAGAGAAGAGGAGAAGGCATACTGCTGTCCGTGAGAATAGCATGTACAAAGGAAGTGAGCTGTGAGAGACTTGGGCTACTCATGTGACTGCATGTATTAACAGCTCCCTGTGACCGAAGAGGAGGATAATCAGAATGAATTGGCTGGAGATGATGCCGGACAGGCAGGCAGGAGCAGGGACAAGGCCTTGCATGTCATGCTTATTTGCGTTTTTCCTGGTGCTGCCAGTTTTTCTAAACAAAGTTCTATAACCACTAAGAGTTATTTACCTTATCCTTACACTTCTCATAATTGTCTTTTAGTTGCTAAGTCTTGTCCGGCTCTTTTTGACCCCATGGACTGTAGTCTGCCAGGTTCCTCTGTCCATGGGATTTCTCAGGCAAGAATACTGGAGCGGGTTGCCAGGGGATCTTCCCAACCCAGAGATCGAACTCACATCTTCTGCTTGGTAGGTGGATTCTTTACCACAGAATACCTGGGAGGCCCACATCTAATAATGCCCTAAAAATACAACCTTGTTAGAGTACATTACTAAGAGAGATTTTCTCTTTTTCTTGAAGTATAGGTGTACAGCAAAGTGATTCAGTTATGTATATATATACATATATATACATTCTTCAGATTTTTTTCATTATGGGTTATTACAAGATAAGGAATATAATCCCCTGTGCTATACAGTACGTTCCCTGTAGTTTCTTTTATATATAGGAGTGTATGTCTGTTAATCCCAAATTCCTTATTTCTTAGTAGTGGGTATACCAATTTACATTCCCACCAACAGTGTGGGAGGGTTCCCTTTTCTCCACACCCCAAGAAGGATTTTCTTAATCATGTTATGTCATCTGTTTACTAAGGAAGATACAAACATAACACACTTTAATAATATTTCCAATTTTTATGAAAGTAAAATGGTCTTAAAAGTAATGTGTTAACTTTTACTATTGGATTCTCAGTCTTTAGGGTGGCCAGATTAACATGATACTGCTATAAATTCAATGATTAGTGTAATTATAGAAGACATCAACATTTTAACACATTTTCATATTGGGCTATAGCAAAAGACTGTCAAGCCACATACTTTAAAGTGCTTCTAGGAATATTTTATAGGATTTGAGAGCAGAATTCAGCCCATTTCATGGACACACAACAGCTGGAATGCAAGCTCCAAGAAGGTAGAAACTGTGTTCACCAGGATATCTTCTGTACACAGTAGGAGCTCAGATGTGCTGGTTTTTCTCTGTGCACTGCAGGGTGAATGGAAGCCCTCAGTGTTGGATATTATACAATATGCCCAACCATGTGCTATAGCTCTCTAGATGTTAGACACACCACACACATACAACCTACCTGTTGAAGAAATCATCATATTTCATATTAATTTAGAAAACAGTCATTTAATTTTCCAATGATAAATGAAGCACCTAAAAGTGCTGGTTCCATGTTAATGTTACAAAAGTTTAAGCCCCCTCAGGACCAAAAAAAAAAAAAAAAATGTATTTTATTAGTCTTTGTACTCCTGGCATGTAGTGAGTTTTCAGTGAGTATTGAATGAATGAATTAAAAAGACTGGCATTTCTGTGGTTCTAAATGCAGCTGATGGAGGGTGTCCTAGCGTTAACTAAGTAATTACTAGAGTCATTCAGTTATTCCATTTTTTGTATTGATTGTTGTGACCCTTTCTGGCCTACCTCAACCTCAACCTGTCCCCTTTCAACTTTGCTGCTTGTGTGAAAAGGTAGTCTACATAATCTGACATAAAAGGACCACTTTTGGCCAAGAGCATATGACCACCGGTACTTTCTTCCAAGTATTTCCACACAAGCTCTTAAAGTCCAGTTGTGGAACAACATAAGGCATAAAAGCTTGAAAAGCATTCGTATGGACTCTTACTGTTAACTGTCTACCTCTATCCAGATCATCAGTCCTCAGCCCATCTTATTAACAGAACCTTCTCACACCAATGGAAAATAAACACAGTGCAAGCCATTGAAGGTCGCGTTTGAGTAGAATTATTTTTCATCAGCATTTCCTGTTTGATTTCTTCCAGATTGTTTAAAATTGTACTAACCACCAATGGCAGAGACAAAACTAAACCTAGGTGTGTAAAATGCAGTCAAATAGGAACTAAAAAGGGAAAGAACAAGATATGAGGCCAAACTATAGATCTCATTTCCTCCTCTGCGCTAATTTAAAATCCGCTTAAGGGTCATGACTTTTGATGTACTCCTTGCATGACTATCTGACTTCTTTCATGGAAAGGGAAAGGTATGACAGGTAAAACAAAGAAGCAGCTGTTGCTAGTGGTGAAAAAGTAGAAAAGAGAGCAAGGCCAGTCTGTCAGATATAATCACTGCAGAGAGGATCTCTGAACCCTGTTGTCCTTTTCTGCCATGCTAATGGAAGCCTCCCTGGGCTTAGAGGAGAGACAGACAGTGAATAGTAATTGCAGCCCTAAAGTAGGAAGTTTTGCTGTCTTTGGACTTCAGACGGTAATTTCCAGCAATGAATGAATTCAGAGGCAACTATATCATCTCTTTATTCTGCTAATGCTGAAACCCGTCAAATCTAATGCCAACACAGGCATTGCCCCAGCCCCCACTAAATCTTACCATTTTAGAGACAGTCTGCAAGTGAACTTAGAAATGCTCACTGAATCTGGGATGCTGGACCAAGGAGTGGGGGAAGGTGGTAAAGCAGGTGGGGTGCAAAGTGACTCAAAACAAAAGAAGGTCATTATAATTTCAGGAAGTTCAAGGGCAGGATAATGTTTATTTTCTTCACATCTGGAAGGGTGTGTTATTTTTTCACTCATTCCTAAATTTCAAGGGAAGAATTTCATTCTGTCAAAATGCCATTGCTTAAAAAAATAATAGGTTAAGTTAGCTGTTTGACAGTTAAGTGAGTTAAGGAGACAGGTGTTTGGAATAAGATTTAAGATTAAGATTTCCTCTTCCAAAAGAGGAAATATACTTAAAATAATAAAATGTATGCAAATAAACTGGTATGAAAAGGGGTATCTTGTCATTAAAAAGAAAAATAACCCACAGGAAAGAAAAGAGGAAAAGACTAATCTCATTGAATCATTAACTTCAATGATCTGGTTTAGGCAAAATCAGTCTTTAAGAAATGCACAATTGGCAAATATTCTCT